CAAGTCTGTACTACAGGTGTGCCCCACTTTAAGAAAACAGTGGACACATGGTGTATCCAAAGTAATCCATTAAAGAGCCTTATGTTTACAGAAATGAAGAACTGCCATATGATTAAAAATGCCATTTATAAACAGCGAACCCCTTGGTGCACTTAAAATTCAAGTTAAAAAAAATCAAGACAGCCTTCAGGAAAACATCTATTCTCTAAAACTGGATACATCTACAACACTTGGTTCTTGTTAGCCTCTTACTAGACAACCAGGGATTCAGGGAGGGAGGGAGGGAGGGTGAGCGAGCACATTTACAGGTCTCTCAAAGAGCCAGATCAAGGTAAAATACTTTTACATCAAGTTCCACGGGCCTAGTTCAGGGAACCGAACAAAGAGGGAAACAGACGGACGCCCTCGCAACTGTCACCTCTGCTGAAAGCTGAACGAGAATGGGCATGAAACTGTGCAGGCGAGGCCAGGTCCAAGACGGCGGAAGGGGAAGGTGCCCACTGCGGCCTGTCAAATGTTCCAAGGAGGAACGATGGGGGAGACTGGGAAGCCACCTCGGATGTCATCTTCTCTGGAATGGCCCCACATGGGTGTAAGGAGATGGACTAAGGGGCTCCCTCACCCTTCCTTCCCGTTCTCGTGATTTGGTTCTGCTCGTCCTTTGCTCCGCCACGGCCACCACCGCTCTTCCCGCACACGGTCGTCAACCCCGGCTTTGGTGTGGCTTCGCCTCGGGAGAGCCGCAGGTGTTTGGGGGACGCGTCTCTGGCAAGCTCCGCCCTCGCCATGGAGTATCATCTCGTATCTGCTTCCCATCACATCATCTGTTCTGTAAGCCTGGCTCGTGTGCTGCGTCTCCCGGGAGCCCCCCTCGACTTGCTGCAGCCCCCAAGCAGGAACTCGTCTCCCCCTCCTCTCGGGCTCCTACGCCCCTACCCTCCAATTCCCTGAGCCAGAGGCTCCTGTCTCCTGCGAGAGCTCCACAGGGCAGGATTACGTCCATCCGGCTCCGCAGGCCCATGGTGCCGGGCGTATTACATATTGAAAGTACAAACGGGGGCCTAGCCTTGGCCTTGGCAATAGGAGTGGCAGTTTTCTGCACCATTTCAAATAGCGTATTTGGGATGCGTGAAGACACAGCCTATCATCGTAACGATGTGGATATGAAACAGGGTCATATTCATTTGGCTCTGCAGGGTACTTATTCGTGAAAACTGTGTAGTTACCTTAACTAGCAGCACCGATAGCATTTACCTTTCAACTCACAGTGGCATTGGTCTCCAAATATGGTAAGATTCTTTTCCAAAAAAAATTTTTTTTTAATGTTTATTTATTTTTGAGAGACACAGAGAGACAGCATGAGCGGGGGAGGGGCAGAGAGAGAGAGAGGGAGACCCAGAATCCGAAGCAGGCTCCAGGCTCCGAGCTGTCAGCACAGAGCCTGACGCGGGGCTCGAACTCACAAACCGTGAGATCATGACCGGAGCCGAAGTCGGTCTCTCAACCGACTGAGCCACCCAGGCGCCCCAAAGATTCTTTTTAGTATCAAGGAGTCAGAGGAGGGTATGTGAGCTTGTGCGCCTACCACTTCCTGCTAATCACATCTACGGCCGCCGTGACACTCCCCAACATCTTCACATGATTGAACTACGACAGCAACAGAGAATTCTATAGCCTGCCATTTATTTTTGTCACCTCTTTTCAACTCCGGTCCAATGAACCCTGAAAGGTCTAGCAGGAAAAAAAAAAAAAAAAAAATCCAAGGGAGCACAACCCTAGCTTTTGAAACATGTAACAAGAAGTCATAAGCAAACCAAAAATGATTTTATTTTAAAAAGAATAAATTTACATACACTACATGAGCAAGACATCTGAAACCTTCCAAAATAGAAACCCGGAGCATATGGCCCCGAAACACCACATGCTTTGATTACACTCAAGAAGCCCAAGTTGCCGACGCGGACTAGAAAATCCCATGTTACCAGTGCGACCATCAGGCCTGTTGTAGAGTGATTTCGGCCATGGCCATTCACGGGTTTTGAGTTCAAGGTCCCTTCTGTGTTTCCTTCTGCATGATGCTGTGGGGCAGGTCTGAGCAAAATCAGCATGGAGTGACAGCTGTTTAGGATGACGGTAAGGTTGGAGGTCCCGGCCCGGAATGGTAGTGGGCTGGGGGCAGGCTGAGGACGGTTAGAAAGGAGACATGTTCTGTTTGCCTCCCAGAGGTGCCAGGGGTCCTAAGGACTCTGGCGTCACGGTTTCCAAAGGCAGGGTTGGCCTGACCACAGGTCCTAAGCCTATGTTGGATACATCACGATGAGCTTGACTTTTAAATTCTTAATCCCTAAGTCGCCTGAAGCAGAAGTGCTCTGGGCCACCGCTGAGGCAATTCCAGCAGGGGGCAGTCTTTCCCCAGAGAGAAAATCCAAATGTCTCCAAGGAGCCAGGGGCACGCGTGGGGTGTGTGAGACAGCCGCCTGGGAGGGTGTCAGATGAGTGACGAAGGCCAGCAAGAGGAGGAAGCAGGTAGTGACTTTTCCAATCCGTTTCTGCCGGATTCCAGGCCACAGAGCAGAAGAGCTCAAAAACTAAAATTTTCACCAATATACATACTTTTAAAAAAAAATTTATTAAATGTTTTTATTTTTGAGAGACAGAGAGAGACAGAGCATGAGCAGGGGAGGGGCAGAGAGAGAGGGAGACAGAATCTGAAGCAGGCTCCAGGCTCCGAGCTGTCAGCACAGGGCCCGACGTGGGGCTCGAACTCACAGCCTGCGAGATCATGACCTGAGCCAAAGTCGGACGCCCAACCGACTGAGCCACCCAGGCGCCCCAGCATACTTTTTATTCTCCAGCTGCAAAACAAGATACTTCAAAAAGTGACCAACCGTGACAAGCCCTTGGGTCATTATTTAATGGGCTACAGCCACCGTATTCATCCTCAGTCCAATTGTGTAAATACAGCCTCAAATGCATTAATACGGTGGATTGCTGTCCTATTGTTGGGACTTAAAAGGACAGCATGAAAAATTACACGTACACACTTGAGTGAAGTGGCAGCACCCACTGCCACGACAACCATTATGGCCTCTCCTTTCAAAAGATACAAGTGGAAAGACCTGATCCTTTTGCTGACTGGCTCCAGAACAATCAACTAAAATCATTTGGCATAAGTATTATCCAGGGATGCAGGGACTTGCCTCCTCCACTGCACTGGTGGGGCTGGCCCATAAGTTGGGGCCCCCCTTTCCTTTCCCATTTCCCCCCCATCATGGTACCACGAATACTGGTCAGAGTTTGCTGTAAGAACAAACGGCAGGTCATTTCAAACCCCGCCTTCTAACTATGGAAAATGTCAGGAGAATTTCAAGGAGAAGCCAAACGTTTTCCTAAAAAAAAGTCCTTCTTAATAGACAGGAGCGCTAAGCCAGACAGCAAAGGTCATCCCAACAGAAAGGCCAGGGGAGATGTTTGCAATCGGGACAAATGGGGCTTGAGGTTTTCGCACTGGGGGCAGAGGTTAAGAGCCTAACGTTCAAGGCAGGCTAACTGTCCCCCAAAGAATGTGTATGGAGATGGCATGTTGGGATCACAAGTCATTGATTTCAGTGGTTTGGGTACCATAGTGAGAAAGATACTTCCTTAGCTATGCATCTACGCTAACTTTTCAGGAAATTGTGGATGCTTGTTCCTTATTCTTTAAAAAAAATTTTTTAGTGTTTATTTCCTTTTTGAGACAGAGACAGACAGGGTTTGAGCTGGGGAACGGGCAGGGAGGGAGGGAGACACAGAATCCGAGGCAGGCTCCAGGCTGTGAGCACAGAGCCCGACGTGGGGCTCGAACTCACGGACCGCGAGATCGTGACCTGAGCCGAAGTCGGACGCTTAACCGACTGCGCCACCAGGCACCCCTGCTTATTCCTAATTCTTAAGAACCGAAGAGAAGCCTGCAGAGAGAAGCTGCTGGTGTTTGCATAAGATCCCCGCCTAAGTCTAATGAGGACACGCACAGGCTTAAAGGGTGTGTTGTGTTCGGTCATGTTGTTTTCCCAAGAGAGGCCGACCCTGTTCCTGCCTTTAACTACCCTTAAAAACTGCCGAGAGACAAGAGGTGGGAAGATGGAGAGGGAGCCCCGATTCTACTTAGTAGGTGAGAAAATAGGTTTACACAAAGTAGATGAGAAATGGAGGAGTGATGTCCCCGGAGGCCCAGTCCCCCCTTGTCAGGCCCCAGGAGGGATTAAGTTCATCTGTTCTAGTGATCCACTTTCACAGGCAGCTGACAGGGCCTCCCCAGTTGGTAAGGAAGCCAAAAAAAAAAAAAAAAAAAAAAAAACCACCTACAGATGGGCAGAGTGCTGGTCCCAAGTCCCTGGGAAGCAGGGGAGAGCGGGACACTCTGAGAAGCCCGGATGAAGTGAGGTGGGATCCAGGTTTCCTGGATCCGAAGAGTGTAGAAATGCTACCTGGAATTCTGCAAAACGCACGGACGAGGAGGAGCGATGCTGTTTGAATACGTGCATCCACAGAGAGCGGGACTCAGGAGGAACACAGGCTCTCGCCCACCATCTCCCAGCGTTGCCCCCGCCTCTTTATCGCTCCACGGGGAGGTCCGCAGTGCCCTTGCCACCCAAGCGGGCACAGTCTAGCGTGATCACAACAGCAAAGTCACCCTGTCCCAGGAATGCGGTCCTACACGGTGACACCCCTTCTCTGGACCAACCAAGTTTGGACCCGAGACTCAGTGATGGGCAAGGTCATAACTGAAGAGAGACGCCTGACCTCCAGCCTCTCCGATCACGCCTGTCTCTTTCGGATCTCCCAAGCCAGGCCACGATTCCTGCCAGCCCATGACTAGGTCCAGGGTCCCTGGGGTGGGGGGACCCTTAAAGAACGGACCATGGGTTTAGCCTGGCTTCACCTGCAGCATGATGCTTACAGACCACTGGCCCCCAGGAGACTGGATTTCCCTTCGCACAGCAGCAATATTTATCTCAGACATCAGCAAAAGAAACATGGGACTCGGGACTTTTTTTTTTTTTTTTTAAGAAAAACGTATGCTCGAAACTTGCCCACCCAACTACTCTCCTGTTTTGGCTCTCCTGCCCAGTGGGCTACTTCCCAACCATTTGAGGTTCAGAGCAATCCCAAAAACCTGTGCAGCATTGGCACAAAGGTTGTGGCGCAGATGCCCACAGATGTGTAGGTGACGAACTTGTAAGGCACTTCGATCTCTAGTCTCCGCCTGGCCTCCTTGTTCCTGGTGACCACCTTGAACCACGAGTATAGCACTTGCAGCGAGAGATTCTGTACGAGCTGGCGGACCAGAAGGATCAGCACGATTCCCACGACGAATTTGGTCAGACCCAAAACTACCATGTCGGTGGTGAGCGGCGGGATGTTCTGAATGACAGGGAGGGACTCGGCGGGCGCCGACACGAGCTGGAAGAAGTGGTTGATCCAGAACCCTAAGGTCACGCCCGCCCCCGCGGCCAGGATGGTTGTGGTGTCCGCTCGGGTTGGGCTGTAGCAGTCGGACACGGGGTAGTTGTAACACAGGAAGAACGGCACCACGATGACACAGACGGGGAAGAGGGGGCTGGCTGAGTCCAGGCGATCGATAAGGGTCCAGGCGGGGTAGGTGAGGACAATGAGGACCGCGGTGACCAGGATGCCACCCAGCACATCCTGTGGGGAGGAGAGAAAAGAAGGGTGTAAGCCAGCGAGTGCTTCCCTGTGGACAGGTGTCCCTCGAGTCCAATCGGGTCCCTTTGACGCCGAAAGGACAATTTGCACATTGCTTTCCCTTACACTGCTGTAAAAAATGGGAAGTTGTACAAATGTGACCACAGGAAACACCACGGCGCTATTCACGTTACGTATTTGCCAGTTTTTCTGTCCTTTGGAAAAGATGCTACGTGTTTTCTTAACGAACAGCCCGGACCACTTTTTTCCTAGATCTTCTATTATTTGCATTTAATATTCTATCACAAGTATTGCCTTAAACCTCGCGGGGGGGGGGGTGCGTCGTCCTTTCCTGGCAGCCTGGGGCTGGGGCTGCGGCTGGAGGAGGAAGTTAGGTGCTGGGGAGGCCCCTGCACACAGCAAGCTGCCCTTTGTCACCTCTAAGGTACATTTACGGGGGGTGGTTTGAGAAGAGACTTTGGATGCGCTCCGTCTTCTGAGACGGAATTTCCAACAGCGTGCAGACAACTCAGCCAGTGGACGTTCCATGCTGCTCTTAACCAATCCTTCCTTTTGGGACATATTAGACTGTGGTCTTCTTTCTTCTGTTCCTCTCTTTCCCCTTATTATTTTCTCCCCCTCTCTCAGTCCCTCCTTTCCTTCCCTCCTTAAATGCTTATTTAAAATACTTTAAGGGGCGCCTGGGTGGCTCAGTCGATCATGCGTCCAACTTCAGCTCAGGTCACGATCTTGCCTTCTGTGAGTTCGACTCTGCTCATGCCTCTCTCTCTCTCTCTTTCTCTCAAAAGTGAAATAAAAACATAAAAAAAAAAATGTTAAATACTTTAACCCCTCAGTGTCACCCATTGTCTCCTTCCCTTCGCGTTCTCATTGCGAAATTCACCAGAAGGCGAAGTCTTACTGGAATTAACAGAGGCACACATCAACTCAGAGAGTGAAGAACTTGCCGAGGTTTTGCGACGTTTCACAAGGATTTTTTTTTTTTTTTTTGGAAGTTTACAGTTGAAAACTCAAAATTTTTCCCTGAGGCATCGGAAAATCTGGAAGGCACCAGAAAGTACTACAGAGGCATTACCGGAAATCTGAAAGCTGCTGAAAAGCAGAAGAACTAAAGATCCTTGTTTCCATCACCTAGAGTCAACCCTGTCTATGTACGGGGCGTGTGGCCTGCCGCTGTCTAGGATTCATTTTGACTTCGAGTTCTCGGGAAGAGACGTTCTTTCTTCTTCTGAAGGCGGTATCCTGTGTTTATTCAGCGGCTCGTTAATGTTCAGCTTTTCTGAATGTTACCCTGCATCATGCTGGCTCTTCTGCGACCCCCAAGAAGTCCCTTTTCTCCACATCCTCCTCCTTCCGCATCCGAGACACGGGCATTTCCAGACTCCGTCTTCCAGCCTGATGTGTCTCCTCCCTCGGGGAGTATAACACACTGGCTTCCCCCCTCCAGCCTCTCCATGGGGATCTCAGATCTGGGGTTTCAGGGGTCTCTTTCCAACGTGAGTCCTGCTTCTCTTGGCCCAATGCTGGACATTTTCACCCAGATGGACAGCCCCGCACACCAACGGGCTAAAATAGAAACGACCAACAAGCAAAAAGAGACAGGAGCAAAGGAAATGAGTTTATAGAAAAGGAAACAGCACCTCTTAAGCACACAAAAACATACCTGAACCTATGAGTACGTGGAAATTAAACTGGGCAGAGAAGAAATTAAAACTTATGTTCACCTAACAGTCACTACGTGAATGTTTATAGCGGTTCTATTTATAATCCTCCACCCCCCCCGCCAAAACTGCAAACAACCTCAAAGCCATTCACTGGGTGAACGCGTGCTACACTCATTGGCCAGGATGCTTCCGCGCGATAAAAAGTAACACACTCCTGATGCGTGCAACAGCTTGGAAGCAAATCTCCAGGGAATTCGGATTGGGAAAAGATGCTCTCCAAGGGTCACATGCCGCATGGTTCTATTTATGTGACATCCTCTAAAAGATACAACCCTAGTGACAGAGAACAGATCAGCGGCTGCCAGGGTTGAGGGGTGGGGGGAGGGTGTTTGGGGGGATAAAGAAACCGTTCCGTTTCGTGTGCCTGGACAACCCCAATCTGTACAGGTGTTAAAATCCGTAGAGCCACATACCCAAAACAAAGGCAACTTTACTGTTACTGCAAATCACATTTCAAGCCAAAAATTAAAAGGTGGTGGGTTTTTTTTTCCCCCCCCGTTGCTTTCACTAAATAACACAGTGGGGCGTCTGTGGCTGTGTGGAAAGCAGCGTCTGGACTCCTACAGGTTCCCGGCTGGTCCCTCCCTCCTCCCCCCACCCCCACCCAACCCGTGCTGGGAATGCCCCCCTCACCTACCAGCTGTAACAAAAGCCAGAAGTTCGAAAACATTCTGCTGAGGAAGCAGTAGAAAGGAAAGGGGACTCCTGTCCGTGCGACTGTAGGAGTGCAAAATGGCACAATCCTCGTGGGGGAAGAAAGTTTGAATTTCACCTCTCTGGCCCGCAGTCTCATTCTGGGACTTGGCCATAGGGATCCACCTGCCTCTAGCTGCAAAGAGGTGTGTATTTTCAAGTTGTCCAGCGTGGTAGTGTTGGTGGTAACAGGAGGCTGGAAAAATGCCAAGTTCCACCTATAGGGACCAGTTAGATCGAACCACGGTCGAGCCACACAATGGAATACTCTGTCTCTATGAAATGGGTGAGGAGATTCTGACGTGGAACTTTTTTTTAAGTTTGTTTGTTTGTTTGTTTGTTTATTTATTTTGAGAGAAAGCGTGAGCTTGGGCCGGGGCGGGGTGGAGAGAAGGGGAGAGAAAAAGAATCCCAAGCAGGCTTCGCACCGTCAGCACAGAACCCGAAGTGGGGCTCGAACTCACGAACCTTGAGATCACGCCATGAGCCAAAATCTAGAAGCAGACGCTTGACTGGCTGAGCCACCCAGGAGCCCCTCTGACGTGGAATTTTTAAAAGCACAGGGCAGGCCAGTGTGCCTAACATGCTGCCATTTTCATTTTTAAAAAGATGGGAGAATATACAGCTAAGTTCTTCCCGGAATACGCAAACAGGTCCACTTAAATGGCGGGGGACACGGTGGGCAAGGAGGCTTTTCACAGGACACCCTCGTGTGCCTTCTGAATTTTATTATCATGTAAACGTGCTGCCTCCTTAAAAAAATTCAAGTGAAATAATTCAGCCAGCGTCTCCTCTTCCAAACAGGATCTGCCTTTCAATTCCCAGGTGGAGTGGGGATCCCAGGTGAGCCCAGCTGTGTCCTCCATGGGGATTTGGGCGTATGTGGAAAACGGGGGCGGGGCGTTGGGGGTGGGGGATGGCCTGCTAAGATGTCACCTTAGGACTGAGAGCATCTGGTCTGAGAGTCTTAAAGGAACACACAGTTCTGAGGGAAGGAGGAGACCCAGGTCCAATGAACTCAAACACCCCAAACAAGCCTTTACTCTCAGTGGGGAGAGAAGATTCTACCACTCAAATGATGTCCCGGCCAGCCCCACCAAAGTCCCATCTGCGTTCTGAAGGAGTCGGAGAGAATGAAGAGAGTCATTTTGCCTCAGTGTATAAAACGCAGAGCTGAAGAAGGCTGTTTTGAGGTCCCTCTGGCGGAGGGCGCTCCAATGGGAAGAACCCATTCCTCCTCCTCGTGCCTGTTGGCCACAGTGCCCTTGGTGAGACCACCTGGCAGGACGAAGGCAGAGGGCCCGCCTCATTCACTATGGCCCTTGGATCCATTTTGGGTGTAGACCTGCGGAGCCTGGAGGGGCAGCTGAAGAGACGCTGATGACAGGCGGACCAGCAGGGGAGGGGCCTGGTGGGGCAGGACTCAGCAGCCACAGCATCTCCTAGACGAGCTACGGGGCAGTGACCGCCGGTACCTGCGAGCTGCTGAGCCTGGAAGGCAAGGAGGCAGGACCAACCGGCTGACCTAGGCGGGGAGCAAGGGACACCATACTGTCTGACCCCAAGGAGACGCTAGGGGGGCTCAGACTGGTTGGAGAGCCCCGGGGAGACGCCCTCTGAAACGCCAAAAATATTTTGTGGGGGTATTTCTGTTCGGGGTGGGGACATACACAGGTGTGCAGGGCGTCGGAGGTTTGGAGTGATCTTGTGGGTGTTCGGGGAGATTCGCCCCAGTCTCCCTGGCCCCAGAAGCTCAGGGTCCTGCTGGCCACACTGAGCGCTCCCTCCCTTCGCTGCCCATAAACTCCCATTGCTGTGTTCCATGGAGTCCTCCCCCTGGCACAAATCCCTGCTCTGGCTGTCACCACCCCGAGGTCAAACCTTCACGTCACCTCCTGCCTCCCACTCTCCCGACCACCTTCCTGATGGCAGTTTCTTTATTTTTTTTTAAATTTTTTTAAACGTTTATTTATTTTTGAGACAGAGACAGAGCATGAGCAGGGGAGGGGCAGAGAGAGAGGGAGACACAGAATCGGAAGCAGGCTCCAGGCTCTGAGCTGTCAGCCCAGAGCCCGACGCGGGGCTCGAACTCACGGACCGCGAGATCGTGACCTGAGCCGAAGTCGGCCGCTTAACCGACTGAGCCACCCAGGCGCCCCCTGATGGCTGTTTCAATAGCAAATGTTCTCCATTGTTCTTGTGGAACATGAACACTTTGGAATCCCTGAGGAAGACTATTACAATACAGACGTCAGGAGCACCTGGGTGGCTCAGTTGGTCGAGGGCCAGACTTCAGCTCCAGGCACGATCTCATGGTTCGTGAGCTCGAGCCCCGGATTGGGCACTGCACTGAAAGTATGGAGCCTGCTTCGGAGCCTCTGTCTCCCTCTCCCTCTGCTCCTTCCCCCCCCCCCCCCCCCCCCCCCCCCCGAAATAAATAACATTAAAAAAAATTTTTAATGCAGATTTTATCAAATGCAGGGGATGCAAGTGTGGCCCAGGAGCCTGCATTTAACACCCAACACAATGCTGAGGTAAAAACTTGGAGAAATACTAGCCTCCAGA